CTATATCTTTACTATTTACATTGCTCGGACTATCATTCACATCTTTGTCGCCATATTTATCAAAACGTTTCAGGTGGTTGGAATGTCGAAGTGAGCCCTTCATTTCTCTCGCTAGTTCCACGTACCATGTCTCCTGTTAATTCCTCTCGCCAAGTTCTCCACCGCCTTAACTAGGTATTGAACTCACACCTCTATTGGGTGCTGCCACTATCTAACTAACACCTTTATCCACTGTGCCATGTGTGCTTGAGAACAGCCGAATAAGAATTTCTGGGTATTATAAACCTAATGTCTTCAGCCTCTATTTTTTTTACCAGTGTTCATATTGCAATTTTTCCAGTTATCATTGCATATTTTTTATCATTGCATTTTAGTTTTTTACCAGGCATATACTCGTTCCCATATTACTACCCCAGCGAGCGAAATAAAGGGTTAAGTTCGACATTCCAACCACCTGAATAAGGCCGGGGTGTACAACGGCCGAAATGTTGTGATAAATATGGCAACAAAGATGAAAATGATAGTCCGAGCAATGTAAATAGTGTACATAATACTTCATCTCAGAAATATAGACAGGTCTTGTTTCCTGTTTAGGATTGGATTTCCGGTTCTTTCTAAAGTCTACTTCAACTCTATATTCCAACGTATCCGCCTAAACTGAGAAATTTGATTTACTATTTATTTTTCCCTAATAGGAATACCAGTTCCTATCGGATCTTTTGAACAGGAGTAGGGGATTATCTCTTGTTTTCTGTTTAGGTTTCCGGTTCATTCTAAAGTCTTTTACATTGTCTTTCTCTCCCAGTCGTCCCTTGTATCTTAGTGGAATTATCGCCTTGACTGGGGGGAACTGATTAAAAAAAAAATATTTTCGCCTCGTCTATTACGACCATTTTAGGATCACTCTTAGTAAATATCAGGAGCAAACTTACACCCTTCTCGCTTGACGTAGATTACCGCTTTCGAAACGGGATTCGAAGACTAGGGACGGGCAACAGTCACTCGGAGAAGGGACAGGAATGTTTTCTGGGGTTGTTTTTTCAGAGTCATAAACAACCACCGGCCGTGTCCATCGAATATTATCGTTGTACTGTGTTTCCTGTGTCTCGATAGTCTTTGTTGGCACTGCAAAAGACAAGGTAAATAAATCAATTAACGCTTGAATCTGACTAGACTGTCATAATGATTTATATGTCGAAACTTTAATATTATTTTCTAGTCTTTGCCCATTATATTACCAGCCACATCAGCAACACCGCTTTTATTATAGACGTTTAATAAAAATGCAACATAAACTCATATTTCTCTAGCTGTTTTTAATATCGTCAAAACAAAATCTAGTAAAAAAATTCTGCAAATTCTTGAACGCTGGAGAAATTCTAGTACTTCCAGATAATCTTAGGGAACTTTCCGAACCTGGAATATATATATATATATATATATATATATATATATATATATATATATATGTGAAAAGTGAATATAAATATAAATAAATATATATATATGTATAATTATTTATATATTATATGCGCGGTACTTATTAGAAAGCGCTCAATATCAGAGATAGAGCTAATATATATATATATATATATGTGTGTGTGTGTGTGTGTGTGTGTGTGTGTGTGTGTGTGTGTGTGTGTGTCTGTAATTGTGTATTTGGCCAGCAAACCCTTTTTATACAAATTTCATTAAAGACGACTGACAAAGTACCGCGATTAAGTTTTTTTATTTAATTTTCCTTGTGTTCGTATAATTGCTTTCTTTTCTGGATATATGTAAAAAGATTGTCAGAATGTTCTGTATGTCCGAGTGTTTCCGACAATTCTTTTAGCCATTTTCAAGAATGACTTTTATTTTTATTTTTAACTGAATATATGGATATTTTATGTATGTATCTAGAGTTATAGGAATGTTCGTATGTATATATATATATATATTATTGTGTATATTTAATGAAACATGCATCAGTATATATATATATATATATATATATATATATATATAGAGAGAGAGAGAGAGGGAGAGAGAGATAGATAGATAGATAGATAGATAGATAGATAGATAGATATTTGAAATATAAGCTGAAAATTTAAACATTTAAATTTAATTATCTGTTAATATTTCTGAGATGAGGTATTATGTACACTATTTACATTATTCGGCTATTGTCCTCATCTTTGTCGCCATATTTATTACAACATTTCGACCGTTGTACGGCCTGTCCTTCTTCAGGTGGTTGGAATGTCGAACTTAACCGTTTATTTCGCTCACTGGGGTAGACTGTTCTAGTTTTTATTCTAGTTCTGTTCTAGTTTTTTTTTTTTTTTTTTTTACGCCTTTATCCAAGCGTTGTTTAAATCCAGTGACAGGATCCAAAGACTGTGAGTTCAATACCCGGTTAAGGTGGTGGAGAACTTGGAGAGGTGAATTAACAGGAGATAACTGATAACTGATATCCATTAAACATGTCACGTGGAACTAGAACAGTCTACCCCAGTGAGCGAAATAAACGGTTAGGTTCGATATTCCAACCACCTAAAAGAGGCCGGAGCGTACAACGGCCGAAACGTTGTAATAAATATGGCGACAAAGATGAGGACAATAGTCCGAATAATGTAAATAGTGTAAAATTAATTACTATTTTAAATATGTGTTTCGCAAAATAGCCTAATCAATTTCATTTAGTTTCTTTTTGTTTATGTTCTTATTACTATTTACACATTTACAGTCTCAAATATAAACAAGACCAATGCTTACCTATAGACTCAAGCATAAACCCGACCAATGATTACCTATAGTCTCAAGTATAAACTCGATCAATATTTACCTATAGACTCAAGTATAAATTCGACCAATGTTTACCTATCAACTCAAGTATATATCCGACCAATGTTTACCTATAGTCTCAAGGGTAAGCTTACCAATATTTACCTATAGACTCGTGTGCAAATCCGACCAATGTTTACTAATAGACTCAAATATAAAGTCAATCAATGTTTACGTGTAGGCTCAATTATAAACCTTACCAAAGTTTAACGATAGACTGAAATTACAGCCCAAGTAGTGAGTCCAATCTTCCCAGGGTGCACGAGCTAAAAATTCGATATTAAATAAGTCATCAAAGTTTACATGCCGTAATCCCAACCAGCGTATAGACTCAAGTACGAACTTAACTAAAGCTTACCTATAGACAATAAAAAAAATTCGACATTAAATAACCCAATAAAAGTTGGTATGTCGTAAAGTCAAACAACCCAACCCAGTCCAACATAACTCTATTCAATACATTAAAACGGCATTTCAATATCACTGAAAAGGAGTATTACATTATATGACCCTTCCTGCAACACGTTGGCTAGACCAAATCGTATAAACCGGTCTTCACTCGCCAATTAATCAGATTTTATGTGAGAAAGGATGGCGATTGATCGTTTCATGCCTTTTAATTAGACCCCATACTGAGTAAAACACCTGCTCCATTTCTCAGAATCGGGGAAGAAAACTTTCCAAAAGCAGGTGACATCAATGACTGAGATCAGAGTTGAATCAGTGCAGTACTCGTGGCCGCTACCACCAGCAGCAGCAGCAGCATCGATGGCGATGTAAAGTACATTCCCGTTTTCATTTTTCTACCTTTTGAGGTTATTGCTGTTTTCTGACAAGTACAAGTAAAGGTGCCAGACACGGCGCCACAAAATAAAATGTCTGCGGAGAGGTGCGTGGGGAGGGGGTAGTAAAGCACACGTTAAAAGCATTGTGACTAAGATGTTAATTTTTCAAAATTCTTGATTCTCTATTTATATTCTAATCCTTTTATAAAATAAATATTTGTTAGATAAATGAACATCTGTTATCATAATGTACCGTATAGTGTATATCACACGTTTGACGGAGGAGGGGCGTATTCATCATTTGATAATTTTGGCGGCAATACGCGCTTAAAAGTTTTAGTTAGTGTGTATGTGTGCGCGCGTGCGTTTTAAGCATAGATCATAATCTGCTACGGAGTCAAATGGAATGAGACAGGCTTGCATCTACCTTAGAAATTGAGACAGCCTACTTGCCTTGAAAATCGGCATTCGAAATTTCGTTTTTTTTTTTTTATATCTGAGCTAATACGCCAATATTTGGTAATGGTGTCAAATACTCCAGAACATCATTTCCAACGCTGCTATTCATTAAGATGACTTTTATAGAATAAACAGAAGTGGACTGACTTCCTACACGATTGTGAATGTTTTTGAATCTTCATTTTGTTCGCCTTTCATGTAAGCTTCTACCCAAATTATCATCTAAGCGATAATTCATGGAGAATAACGTCACTAGTAACACCAGCTCCCATCCAAAACTGAATTAGGGAACAGAGATTGACTTCAAAATCTGGCCACAGGTCAAACCCTTAGGTCAATAGCCATAAAACGTTGAACTCATTGTCATCCTGACCATCCCTATATCGCTGTATTGTCACATGGATGAAATCTGAAAGGAAGAAAAAAAGATCATGCTGCACAAGTCACCTTCATAATAATTCAGTTTGTGCGCTGATCTTGGCCTTCAGAAAGCGAAGATTGATGCGATACTCGTGGTGATTGTTCAATGCCAAGGGCATGACGGAATACAAGGAAACGGTTTTCAACGTTCTATGAACAGAGATAAAGAGGATCAACCTTGCACAGGTACGTAAAATAATACCTAATTCCTCTTTTTGAAAGAACATATAATACATGTCATTAAAGGGAAAGAAAGAAAGAAAGAGATGAATGATTGAATAAATAAATAAAAAAAGAAAGAAATACAGAAAGAAAGGAATAAAGAAAGAAAGAAAGAAAGGAATAAAGAAAGAAAGAAAAAAAGAACTTTTAAAGTATTTTCAACATCGTAAGAAATTTTATTATCAAAGAACTGAAGACGGAAAAAGAAAAAAAGTAGTATAGACAAATGATAATGGCAAACGAATTCTGTTTTTTTTGTTTGTTTGTTTGTTTTTTTCCATGTATTTAAAATAAAGAAAGAAAGGAAGAGGAAAGAAAAAAAGAAAGAAAGAAAGGAAGGAAGAAGAAAGAAAGAAAGAAAGGAAAAAGAAAGAAAGAAAGAAAGGAAGAAAAAAGAAAGTTTTTTTTTAATGATTTAACGCAGTAAAGGATTTTATTTTTAAAGAATTGAAAACAGAAATAACGAAAAATATTAAGTATATAAAAATGATATTGACAAAAGAAATATGCTATTTATATATCTATGATTAATGAAGAAAGAAAGCAAGTAAGAGATCAGAAACAAAGAAATAAGATAAAAGAATGAAAAGAAAGATTTTTTAAAGTATTTTCAACGTTTCAAGAAATTTTATTTTAAAAGAACTGAAAACGGGAGAAAAGAAAAATATATTAAGTATATACAACTGATAATGGCACTTTTTTTCAAAATAAAGAAAAAAAAAGAAAAGAAGGAAGGAAGGAAGGAACAAAAAAACAAACAAATAAAGAAACAAAGAAACAATCAAACACACAACAAAAGAAAATACTTTTAAAGTATTCTCAATGTCGTAAGGAATTTTATTGTCAAAGACCTGAAAAAAAAAATATAATCAACTGACAAGAGCAAAAGAATTCTGTACTATGTATTTAAAATAAAGAAATAAAGAAAAAGAAAGAAAAAGTAAAAAGAAAGAAACAATTAAAGAAAAAAAGAAAGAAAGAAAGAAAGAAAGAAAGAAAGAAGGAAAGAAAGAAATTTAAAATGTATTTTCAACCTCACAAGAAATTTTATTGTAAAAGTATTGAAAACGGGAGAAAGAAAAATATATTAAGTTTAAGTATATACAACTGATAAAGACAAACGAAACTTTCAATTTGTGTATTTAAAATAAAGAAAGAAATAACGAAATAAAGTCAGAAATAACGATCGAAAGAAATAACGATAGAAAGAAATAGAGGCAGACATGTTAATTTTAAAAGCATTTAGAACGAAGGAAGGGGAATCTTTTTTATATATTTTATTTACAATGAAGAAAAAAAAGAAATGTTAAAAAAGTTTACCATAGACAAAAAAGAAAGAAAGACTTAAATTATTAGATATGTGCAAATGTTCTCAGCGCTCTGTTTTCATAACTCGTACTTATAACTGGTAATAAATGGTAGAAAACCGGTTTTTTTCGCTGGCAACTTTTGTATGCACCCAATAAAATCCGATGTCCTGTTGTATTGATTCGCGATACAATCATAATGTTCGCTTCGTTGCGAAGGAAATGATGAATCATTGATTTGGAATCGGAAAAAGAAAAATCTTTAAATGTTTCGTGTGTGTCAGAGATAATGACATGCCCTGACATGCACTTTCTACTTAAGATCTGGACATTTAAGTCGACACTTCCTTTCAAATGACAAGCGTTTTCATTGCTTATTTGTTTTTTTTGTTTTTTATAGCTACGGTTTTTTTTTGTTGTTATTTTTTTTTCTCTTAATGATTTTCAATGAATCCCCCGTTTAATCCGACTCTATTCAACTCAACAGGTGTATATTTCATTGATAGCGAAGAAAAAAAAACATAAAAAAAGATAAAATTATTGATCACCTCTTCCTGATCAGTGGTTTTCGAACCCCCAGGGTTTATTAAAATTAGTCGTAGAGGTGCGGGGGTGGGAAGTGGATAGTTTACAGATATTTCAGTAGTAAAACAATCGTACTGTAAGTACTAGATATACACGTATAGTTCGATTTTTTATGATCGCTTTTTTTTTACGCAAGAAATAGGGGAACGCACTATACACAGGTAATTTTTATTTTTTTAAGATCTTAAAAATTATGCATTTTTGGTGACCGGTTGCACTCTATGGAGGTAAGGTTGTTTTTTTCTAGAGGGGGTCAAAATCTATGCCAAAAACTTTAGGATTCGCACTATCTATGAAGTCGACTTATAGACGAGTGTATACGGTACAGTGGACCCACGATCAGCGGTAGCTCAACGGACAGAAAGCAAGAGGCGATAATAGAGCTACGACTTGTACTAACTCTAATAACAATAAACCAGGTGTAAAAGCAAAATTGTCCAAATCGTGTAAAAGAATGTGAAAATTCTGCATCTCACAAAATGTTTAATATCTAATATCAGTCGCACTGTCTTCCCAACTGAGCAATGGTGAGAGGAAAAAGATCATTCAGTTCTTCAGTAATGGTACCAACATTCATATTCTGGCTTCCATCTTCAAAGTCTATTCAAGAACCATCAAGGAATAAGTTTAAAAAAAGATTGAGCAGTAGAAAGGAAATCTGGATCAGGAGGTCGCAACAGCAAGAGGGATCATCATTTCAACTTAGAGCTAAATACATTCTTATCGTTTAAAGTAGAGTCCAATAATGTTGTAAAAACCTCGGAGAATTCCTGTAAAATATCTTTAATCATTTCTAAGATACAACGGTTCAAAGATTAATCTAAAAATTGGACAATTTTGCTGCTACACTATTTGGACAATTTTGCTGTTCCATTCAGTGCATCTGTAACATCTATATTATAAAAGAAGAGCTGATTCTTTGTCCAGCACACACTGGCTGCATGTGATTTTGCATGCACCTATGTAATATATATATGCAAATATCTGTGTTGCTCCATTTCAATTTATTATAACAGAAATAAAAAGTTTCTCTCGATCAGCTATGAAACCTTTTGGCCGTGATCGACATTCAATGGTGAACAGAGATATACCTCTCTCACTTTTAACTCCAGAAAGTCAACGTAAGAATTTACTTTGAATTTAAAATATAATAATAATAATAATAATAATAATAACAATAATAATAATAATGAAATGGAAATCTCAAAAATGTGGTACATGGGAACATCAACAATCCCTGTTGTAGTTGGAGCCCTAGGATTGGTTGGAAAAGATTCCAGTAGACTAACTGAAGGGATTCCTGGAAGCCCATGCCTCAAAGAAATACACAAAAAAGTCCAGTACAGCCCACACTTTACGAAGGGCTTTATCTATGTAATTTTTTTTTTTTGTTTTGTCAGTAGAAAGTGTCATGGTGCCATTTCTAACCTTAGGTCTCTTAGCGGGACCCAGAAAGAAATGTGTACAACCAGAAATCAAAGGAAATAAAATAATAATAATAATAATCTTGTTTAGAAGTGTTTTTTGTTTAAAAATGACTTGTTGCCAACATATTTTATTTTAAAAAATGTTACATTCGTTGATATGCCTTCCCACCACAGCACAGGCACGAGGAGTTAGGTATATTATATAAATGTATATTTTTAAAATTTTTCAGCATTGAAACTTTTGAGCTGTTCGAAAATTGAATGGTAAACAGAGATATTCCTCTTCTCACTATTAACTCGAGAAAGTAGTTTTGAATTTAATAATAATAATAATAATAATAATAATAATTATTATTATTATTATTATATGTTATGTTTCCTGCTTTTCATCCTGTAAATCCGGGGTCAAACTAGGTTCCGTAGTCTCTATACGAGAATTGTCATTTAATTTATAGCACTTTTCTTAATATATGGGATGTTCCTAGTTGGGCGACCTTCTGGGCAACCTGTATGTTGATGTTACCTGGGACACTATTAGTAAAATTTTCTATTATTATTATTGTTAGTAGTAGTAGTAGTAGTAGTAGTAGTAGTAGTAGGTCCTTGGACTTCTCTTGTATACACATTTCCTTCCGGGTCCCAACCAGAGATTTATGGTCAGAAATGGCTAACAATAATAATAATAATAATAACAATAACAATTGATCATCTTGTATCAGGCTGCACGGTATTTGGACTCACTGAATATAAAACCCGGTATGACAGAGTGGGCCAATATCTGCACTGGAAAATCTGCAACTTCTACGGGAAGGAAACTGAAAGAAATTGGTATGAACACCACACAAATCTGGTTACGGAGATAGGACCTGTTACACTTTCATAGGACTACACAAGACACACAGACAGAACAATCAAAGCTAACCCCACAGACATTGATATTCGAGACCGCAAACAAAAAAAACGGTGCCTCCTTATTGATATGGTAGTCCCTGCAGACTGCAATGTATCTTTGAAGAGCTTAAAAAAACTATCAAAATACAAGGACCTTGAAATCGAAATCTCAAAAATGTGGCGCATGGGAACATCAACAAGCCCTGTTGTAGTTGGAACCCTCGGATTGGTTGGAAAAGATTCCAATAGACTCATTGAAGGGATTCCTGGAAGCCCATGCCTTAAAAGATACAAAAAATTGTTCTCACGATTACAGCCCACACCTTACGAAGGGCTTTATCTATGTAAAATATGTATTTTTGTTGTTGCTGTTGTTTTTTAAATTGGTCAGTGGAAAATGTCATGATGCCATTTCTGACCTTAGGTCTCTGGGCGGATCCCGGAAAGAAATGTGTAAACGCCAGAAATCAAAGGGAATAATAATAATAATAATAATAATAATAATAATAATAATAATAAGATAGTGACAAATGTGCACTGAAAGATATGCAAGAAGCACCAAATCGAAACCACTGAGAGATGTTATGACCACCAACCACAGTTACCCAAAATAACAAATTAACTATTCTCTGGGACATGCCAATTTAAACTGTCAGGGAAACAAAAGCCAACAGACCTGATGTTATCATAAAAGATAATAAATTCGGGAAGTGTATATTTATTGACATAGCAGTACCATCTGAGAGGAACACCTCGATGAAAATAATCGAGAAATTGTCCAAATACAAAAACCTGTAGATCGAGATTAACAAGATGTGGGCAGTGAAGACTGAGTAACTGGAGCTCTGGGTGTCGTGAGAAAAGAAATGGACAATTTTAGTAATAGTGTCCCAGGTAACATCAACAGATAAATTGCCCAGAAGATCGCCTTACTAGGAACATCCCATATATAAAGAAAAGTCTTATCAATTAAATAAAAATTCTTTTTTCCAAGCTGGAGACTAAAAGAGAAAGAAACTGAGTGACTTTAAAAAAATCGTTTAACATTTTTTATATTCTCCACTTTTAAGTGTCCGAGTTTTGAGATGGAAATTCTTCAGAATAAGTAGAAAATAAATTAAAAAATTTTAAACACAAATGCATACGTCCAAAACACATCTTTCGTTATCCATCCGATGAAGCCGTTAGAGGTGAAATGCGTTATCGGATATTATTTTCGGGACATATTTTCTTGAACTTTTTTCCAACTGACAATAACTTATAACACGATCGGGATTACATACCCACATTTATTACATGACAATTCTCCTGTAGGGCCTAAGGACCATAATTTGGACCCGATTCTACAGGATACAAAGCATGGAAACATAATATACACAAATAATAATAATAATACAAACATAAACTTCTAAATTATTATTATTATTATTATTATTATTATTATTATTATTATTATTATTATTATTATTATTTCTGCTATGGACACACTACCTACCAAGTCTGCGGAAAGACCTAAGGCAGGTCGTGGTGTGTTGTTATGGCCACATTTCATGTTAATTTTTTTTTTTTTTTTTTATCTCCGATGAAGTTGCTAGCGTTACATAGACAAAGTTCTCCTTAGTGTGTGTGCTGTACTTAATAAGACAATTTTCTGTATGTCTCTTAAGCTGGGGTTTCAGGGATTCTTTCAATGTGTTGTTTTGTTCCATTTTTATAATTCCAAGTGCACCTATTACCACTGGTATTATTCTTGTTTTCAATTTCACATTTTTTTCTATTTCAATTTCCAGGTCTTTGTATTTTGATAGTTTTTCAAATTCCTTGGTTGCTATGTTACAATCCGCTGGACAAGCCATATCAATTAGTAGGCAAGTTTTTTTCTTTCTGGTTTTTGACAATAATGTCCGGCCTATTTGCTTCAATTTTTCTGTCTGTGTGGATGGTATAATCCCATAGAATGGTGACATCTTCTATTTCTGTAACCGGCGCTGGCCGATGTTCATACCAGTGTTTGCTTACACATTTTCCAAAGTGTTTGCACATTGTCCAGTGTAAGTATTGCCCCACTCTATCGTGACGATTTTTATATTCATTTGGGGCAAGTATAGAACATCCTGAGATTAGATGGTCTATTGTTTCTTGGTATTTGTCACAGAACCTGCATTTTGGATCCATTATTATGTATGATATTTGCCTGAAAATTCCTAGTGAAAAAAGACTCTGGTCTTGCGCTGCAAGAATAAAGCCTTCAGTTTCAGACTTTAATCCAGATGCTCGTAACCATCGATGAGTATTAACTTTATCAACATTGGGTTTATTTGCACGTTCTGGATATTGGCCATGCAGAGGGTTTGTCTTGCCAGCGTTGTTTCATCTGTTCAAGGGCTTTATCCTTGGCTTTTT